TCATCACCATCATCATCACCATCATCATCATCATCATCATCACGACTCGTCCACCTATACAATCAACCTCGCTCTCAACCAGGCTGGAGAAGATTACACGGTGCGTGCTCGTAGTTAGCTTCACACCTCCTGCTACTACTATTCCTCCTTCTCCTCCTCCTCCTCCTTCTCCTTCTCCTCCTCCTCCTCCTCCTCCTCCTGCTCCTCCTCCTCCAGCCTCCTCCTCCTCGTCATCATCATCATCATCCTCATCATCATCATCATCATCATCATCATCATCATCATCATCATCATCGTGCTCATCCCACTCTCTTCCTGCTCCTTCTCTCTCTCTCTTCTCTCGTCTCTCTCTCTCTCATCTCTCTTTCTCGCGCTCTCTCTCCCTCTCTTCTTATCTCTCTCCCTCTCTCTCTCATCTCTCTCTCTCTCTCTCTCTCCCTCTCTCTCTCTCTCTCTCATCTCTTTCCTCTTATCTTTCTTTCTCATCTCTCTCCTCTTATCTCTCTCCCCCTCTCTCTCCTCTCTCTCTCTCTCTCCCTCTCTCTCTCTCTCTCTCTTATCTCTCTCCTCTTATCTCTCTCTCTCCCTCTCTCCCTCTCACCTTTCTCATCTCTCTCCTCTTATCTCTCTCTCTCTCTCTCCCTCTCTCTCTCTCTCCCTCTCTCTCTTCTCTCATCTCTCTCCCTCTCACCTCTCTCATCTCTCTCTCTCTCTCTCTCGTCTCGCAGGGTGGCGGTGTCAATTTCATTCGCTACAACTGCAGCATCGTTGAGACGAAGCGCGGCTGGGCGTTCATCCACCCGGGCAAGCTAACGCACTACCACGAGGGCCTGCTCATCGGCGATGGCATCCGCTACATCATGGTCTCCTTCGTCGACCCCTAAGGGGCGCAGTATGCGCGCGCACGTACCAATTATGGCCTTAGTTGCGGCGGGAGCGCGTGTGAGCCGCGTGCCCCGAAATAATGATCACGTTCACTTGTTTAGCTGGCGATTCGCGCGCCGCGGCGCACCGAGTTTCGACCGCGGCGGTAGTCGAGTAGCGTTTCTATTTGAAGTCGCGGTAGGGGTTTTGTTTTTATATCCCGTGTGAGGGCGTCTGTCTTCCTGTTATTGTAACTGGTTATAGGGGTGCGGATCGTGTAAGCACGGACATATCTATGCTATATAAGGGCGTGGATATGTTCATGGTATATATATATATACTATATATGGCCTAGTTTTCATACGTTTATATAATAAGCTGTTTATTGCATTTTCAATCCATTGTGCTGTTGTCAAATCTCGCTTTAATTACTCCATACTCATCCAACAAGTCAATATAATTAACAGTTCATACCGCATTGAGTCTCGCTTTCCTCCCGCTTTCCTCCCTACAGATAGTATTAAAGATGTGCTGCTATCATCAGTGTCATAGCGGGGCTGCGCACCTAAAGCTGGGTTTACACTACCAACTTTGTGTTGGCGAATTGGCGAAGTGGACTAACTTCGCAATTATGCAACCGACAATCGGCAGTGTAAACGCAAAAGTTGCGCGACCAACCGATCGATAGCAACTAGTTGGGCGATTAGAACATGTTCTATTTTCGCCAGCTCGGTGTTGGCGAATTGGAAAGTTGGTCCAACTCGGCAATTCACCAACATAAAGTTAGTAGTGTAAACCCAGCTTAAGCCTGTTAGACGTCTATACTGCTCTCCTCAGCACCCGTAGCAACCTTCCCAGCTTTCCTCACCATCCCCCTCCTCCATCTTCCCATTTAGAGGTTCAGAGAAGAGTCCAGCAAAAATGTCCGCCCTTTGAGATTTTTGTTTGCACCGGTATTTTGCTCCCCGTTGTTTGAAATTGTCGTCCTGTACATTGTTGTACTTACCATGCGTTTGATATATCAGAATCTCGTTTGCTAGTTTTGGCAAGTCCTTTTTATACGCGTTTATATCTGTTTCTGTTGAGACTGTATGTTGTGCCGAATCAAGAATCATGTAGTCGAATGGTTTATCGTGACGTTATTTAAGAAAATAAAGAGTTGGTGGGAGGGTGGGGGAGGGGATCCTTGCCTCAGTTATGATGCGTTATCTTTAGAGTAAATGTACTTTGTCTGCGTTATTGGATGACGTTGATCCATTGAATCTGTGGAAAATCTCTCCTAGATCTTAATCTTATTGACCTTTCAATCTGAGCAAGAGAACCGTACCCCATTGAATATTGTTGATTGGTCAAGTTAGACCATATATATATATATGTGTTTTTTGCACATATACGCCAAATGATTGAATTTACTACTTCACTTCGTTACTAAGCACCGTTATTTAAATGCCACGCAAACACTGCTGATTGGCTACAGCTACCTGACAATCGTTCTAGACAGGACAGGTCGATTTGACGTCGACCGTTGCAATGCTGCTGTGATCGCAGTTTGCGCTACGATGGTGATTGTCAGTCATGCTCAGAGCTTGAGTCGAGTCACGGTCGAGGCGTCGCACATCCTCTCACTGTTATGTTACGACAATGCGCTACCTGAGTAGAGCTGTTGTTATCTGTCTTCCCGGACCCGAAGTCCTAGTCATGCAATGACACATCATGTAACAGCCGCGGGGCGCGGAGCGGCTCAAGATGGCGACCCGCTCGCGTATGTCGGTCGTCATGGCGACTTATCTTGCCGAATCTATCTTTTTTTGTACGATTTTCATAGAAAAGTCTTTGGGTGATGAGTGGATACACTCTGGCGAAAGGATGTTCGAGGTTGTGAAATCCGTGTACCGTATGTAATCATGCCTACATGTATACTACATATGCTACTAGTGTTGCCGCGAACATGTCTACGCTTGCTAGACGGTGCGACGGTGATCAACAGTGTTTGTGCTATATGAATGGAGCATGAATTCGTAATTATTAAGTGAAAGATGATCTGCACATTGGCGGCACCTGGTGGCGGGCGTTTGCGAGTTCAGTTTCAGCAAACCCAGCTGAGAACAATATATACATTGTTATACATTACATGTATAATATTATGTGCATAATATTGTTCTCAGAAACCCTGGAGCCCTTGCATGTTCACAGATGTTTACTACTACTACATGTACTAGTATCTATTTTATATACTAGTATAAAATATATATATTAGTATACCGATGTTTGTGATGGTATTGTGCACATCGTTATTAAGTAATATAACAACTGGATGTGTTACGACGCATTTTAATTCGCGGCTAACTACTTTCGACCCGAAGATATTACTTTAGCAATATAGCAATAATTATAATAATTATAATAATAATAATAATAACAATAATAATAGCAAATTAGTGGCGAGTCTATATATTTACATGGAATTACAATCGTGTATGGAGTAAGGCGTAGATATCGAATCAGCATTAAATGTTCGCATGGTTATTGGGAATATGTAAAGAGATCGATGACACTGAGGAGGGCGATATTATGAATGACCACCGAATAATAGCTATTTATAAATGTTGCAGAATCTCTATTGCATGCTTATCGACAACTATAAATATAGTATATTCAGCCGAGGACTATGATGACATGGTTTGGTGCTATGTTTAAGTGAAATTTTGTTATTTTAATAAATAACGCTTGCTTCATAACAGCTATACGTATTGTTATTCGTGTGTTATTCGTGTTGCTTTAATTACAGCACCTCCGACTATTTTCCATCGCACAGAAAGAATACAGTCAAGTCTTCAGTACATGTATTTGTACTTGAATCACATATGCAGTAAAGATTGAATAATTAATAATAATTATCAAGGAATGAGCGACCACCGAATAATAAATATTTATAAATGTTGCAGAATCTCTACTGCATGCTTATCGACAACTATATATATATATATATATATATACATAAAATTGCGCACACACACACACACACACACACACACACACACACACACACACACACACACACACACACACACACACACACACACACACATGTAAACCCTATGTCACTATTGTCATGTGATGATGCGGTCGGCGTGACGTTCGCTTGTTTGTTTTGCAGTGCCCTCTGGGACATCGAGACAGGCCAGCAGTGCACAGCGTTCACGGGACACACCGGTGACGTCATGAGTTTATCGCTGTCGCCCGACTTTAAAACTTTTGTATCTGGTGCATGTGATGCTTCAGCGAAGGTAAGGAGCGGAGCCGGTCCCACGCGCGCGTGCGTTCTGGTCACGCTGTCAACTCACGATTCGGCCTAAGATAAAATATTGCTTGTTTCCCCTTTACCGACCGACTCGCCAAAACGCCGCTACTCAACACATTTTATTGGCCGATTAAAACAAAACAAAAATTATTTCGTTTCGCCAAAAAAAAAAATCAAATTCGTTCCACAAAAACATATACACAAAACAGAATATACAATATACATACACACATCTTGTCAAAACAAAATAAAAAAGATTTTTCACCTACCTACCTACTTGGTACCCTGGGAGGCGAGTAGGTAAAGGGGAAACAAACGATTTTTTAAGGGTGGCCTTGTCGATGGGGGTAGAGGCGGTGGGGATTGGGTGCTGAATTCTTTTGGAAAGAAGTGTTCGTCGTCAGAAACACACGTACTTATGACTGTCGTAAGTCGAAATGTCAAAAACATTCATGCGACAAACAACTCTTTGCTTGCAAAGGTTATGATGTTTTCGATTTTAATCTCACGACTATTGATGATGTTGATGACAACTGGTGCCTAGTCTGTTTTCGGCATTGAGATAGCAATGGCTTGACCATAAGGTCTAGCACATACAATATCCTAGTTGTGTGATGAATATTTTGTGTGTATTGCTGGCGCGTTGCATACCTAACGCTTGTTTTTCTTTTTCAGTTATGGGACATACGAGACGGTATGTGTAAACAAACATTTTCTGGGCATGAATCTGATATCAACGCTGTCACAGTAAGTATGACTCTGCGCACGAGCCTGTCTCTCTTCGTTTCTTCTCTTCTCCATTATAACGCGTTAGCACGTCACTGTGCTTTGCTGTCGCCGTTCCAAGAAGTGTTGGGCCATCCTTAAAAAATTATATGTTTGCTGTCCTCCGACCGACCCACGAAAATAGCCGCGACCCAAAAGTTTTTTTTAGACATTTTGGGTTCCTTTTTTTAATTTTTTTATAGTTAAGACTGAAACACAAAGCATGTGTGGCAAACATGAGGACAGACTTAAAATAACTATTATGCCTCACAAAAAAAGACCTACCTACCCACCCGACCTACCTACCCACTAAAAAAATCATGGGTGGGGGGACAGCAAACATAGAATTTCTTAAGGATGGCCTTGAGGCAGCATAGGAGGCAATAGTCTTCATTCTGTGGCTCTGGTTTCTGTGGTAGTGGCTCACCTTTCGTTGTTTGAACGTTGCTGTACGTTGAGAGTTTTTGCGTCGTGCAGGGGGGAAAGAGAGGAACCGGTGTAGCATGCCTCATGAGAAGGAGAGTCCGTTGCTTCACCCAACGCCCCAGATACAGTGTCGTTCATGTCCGATCGCGCGAAGGCATCTTCTTGTTCTCTCTGTCTCTTTCTTGTGCTTTCTCTCTCTCGCCCTACTCTCTCAGTCTGTCTCTCTCTCTGTCTCGCTCTCTCTCTGTCTCTCTCTCTCTCTCTCTCTCTCTCTCTCTCTCTCTCTCTCTCTCTCTCTCTCTCTCTCTCTCTCTCTCTCTCTCTCTCTCTCTCTCACACTCACACACACACACCCTCTTGAATATTCGGAGTTGTCTAACCTCATATTTTCTTCCTCTTCCCCCTGCTCTAGTTCTTTCCTAACGGATATGCATTTGCGACGGGGTCGGACGACGCCACCTGCCGGCTGTTTGACATCCGTGCCGACCAGGAGCTGGCGCTCTACACGCACGACAACATCATATGCGGGATCACCTCGGTGGCTTTCTCCAAGTCCGGCCGACTGCTCTTCGCCGGCTACGACGACTTCAACTGCAACGTCTGGGACTCAATGCGAACAGAACGCTCCGGTAGGTGGCGCCACTGGGCGTCGGCGCGGCGACGGCCGATGCCGGTCGCGAGCGGGGGAGCTTGGGTGGGGAACTGTCGTGTGTTGGCGCATCGTGGGAGCGGGGGCGGAGGAGAGAGTTTGGGCTCTCGATTGAGTTGTTGCTCGGTTTGAGTGTGCGATGGCTTTTTTTCGCACGTGTTTTGGAGGCGACGTGTGTTTGGGGTGACGTTGTCGGTTTGCGTCTGTTGGGTTTGTTGTGTCAGTTTTCCTGCGTTTGTGGGTTATCTGGTTCGCTTTACTTGCATTTTTTCGGGTTAAATGTATCAGCTTGCTTCTATCTGTCGGTTAACTGTGTCAGTTTTCTCGTATTTGCCGGTTTAAATGTGTCAGTTATCTTGAGTTTGTGGGTTAACAGTATTACTTTTCTTGCATTCGACATGGAAACACTTCATAAATTTTCTTGTTTCATTCGTGTGTGAACCGCACGTGAGTTTCATCGCATCTGTGAGCTAACTCCGCGCGTTCTTCATATGCGCAGGCTAACTCCGCACGTGTTTCTCTGTGTTTCAGGTGTTCTCACCGGGCATGACAATCGCGTCAGCTGCCTGGGCGTCACCGAGGACGGCTTTGCACTCTGCACGGGCTCCTGGGACAGCTTCCTAAGGATTTGGAACTAGGGTAGCATCTCCTCCTCTCTCTACAACACTGTACAAAGGTAGCTATTCTGTATTATCTTCTCCCTCTCACGTCGTGGTTCGTATTGGGAGGGGGTGTTCTTCGTTGAGGAATCGTGTTTGCTGCAGAAGTGCACAGCCATTTGACAAAATGCTTTATAGTCATGTGTGAAGAAGAGGGTGCATGGGGCACTGTTCCGCTGTGCTACCCTATGTTGTTTCAATATGTAGGTTATTAGATGCCATTTTGAAACAAGTTATGGTTAAAAAAGTTGCATGTAACTAAGTAATGTTTTATAGTCGTATTTTTCTTTTTTCTCCACCAGGTGTCCTTGCTCGGCATGAAGATTTGTTACTGTGTAAGCAGTTGGTCTGGATGGCACGACACAACGACTGTCTATCTGCACAGGATTGTGGGATAAGCATGGATACTGCGCCATCTATTGGTCGCCTTCTATCAACTTCTGCTGCGTATCTTGTCATGAGGGGATGTTATTATTCCCTTTATGAGAGTATTTTATACATGTAGTGCTTGGTAAACAGTTAATGTTAAGGAGTCGACACAGCATGGGGCGATATAGTCTGAGCACACAGGGCGTCGGTGACGCGTCGGGGGGGTTAGCGGGCGGGGGAGGCAGCGAGCGCGGTAGCAGCTTTCCCGCAAACCGTTCCCCCTTCTCCCCCGTCTCTCTGCGGGCGTGCAGCGTCCCTCCCCGCCGCCACAGTTGGCACGCGAGTTTTTATACGGAAGGGTTAAAACCCGTGTTTGGGAGGGAGAGCCCACGCCCCGCGCGCACGAGAGAGAGGGTGCGGCGACGGGGGAGGGAGGGGAACGCGGCGGCGGCGGCGGCGGAGGCGCGTCCGGCGGCCCTGTGTGCTCTCGCGCGCGCGCGTATTCGTAGTGTTATAGCATACGTAGCAAGATGTGTACGAGTGAGTACTGTGATGTGGGCAATAGTTTTACCCGTGTGTGTAGTCAGTCTCTCGCCCCGTGCTGCAGCGGTGGACGCCCCGCCCCCGGCCGCCGCCATCGTCGTCGTCGGTGAGGGGGGAAGGGGTTGCGCCGGGACCTCGCGGCTGGCCCCTCTCGCTCGAGCGCGCCGAGGAGGAGGTGGGGGAGGGGGAGGGGAGTGACCGCCTCGAGGCAGGCCCCTCTCGCTCGCTCGCTCGCGCGCTGGGGAGGAGGGAGGTGGGGGCCGATTTTGCTTGTGTGTGGGGGGGAGGGCGGAGTGCGCCGCTCGCCGTTGCTGTCACCTCTGTGTCCTCTTCGGTTCCTCTCCTCACGCGCGATCCTCCTTCCTCCTCCCCCATCGAGTTTCCTCGTAGGGTTGCGGTGTCTCTTTCTGTGCAGCTTCTCTCTCTTTCTCTCTCCCTCTCGCTCCCCTCTTTTTTTCTCTTTTTTCTGGTTTTATCCGTACCTTTCTCTCTTTCTATCTCCATCTCCATCTCCGTGCGAACCGATTCGGTTATTTTTGTTTTTGATATCGTTCTTCCGCCGGGCGTCGGCGACGGCGCGGCGAGGGTTACCGCGGCGACGGCCTCCGGCGCGCCCTCGCTTTGCTTTACGATCCCGGAGAGGAAGGGTGGCGGAGGAGGAGAGGGACGGGCGTACGGGACCGACTCGTGCCGGTGGAGATTCACGTCGCGGTGAAGCAGGGGACGCTGCCGCCGGGGGGAGCCTCCGCAGGACACTGATTAACTGTTTTATAGGCATCTGATACGTCATTGCTTGTTTGATCGAAATAGTTCTAATCAGACTTTGTTTAAATATGGCTGACAGGCTGCATATATTCAGCATTACTATGAAGCATTGTGTGGCATTAAATACGCGCAACTTTATGACATTTCTAAACTCACGACCGCGCATTCGGTGCGACGGTCGATATGTGTGTTCTGTTGTTTCTGCAGATGTTCTGTTGTTTTTCACGGACAGCTGTTCATGTGTCAGTTAGCAGACGAATCTAGTCAAATTCTTGTAGGCTCTGCAGTTTGCCAGTAACGATTTTACGACTGGCAAAGAATCCTCGCGCCGTGTGAAACTATAGTGTGCAATCAATAAGTCGTGCATACACGGTGAGAGCGGCGGCGGCGGCGGCGGCCGCGGCGGCGGCGGCGGCGCGTCGTCTGCTCCGGGCGGAAACCCCGCGCGCGTGCACGAGCGACAGACGACGCGTGGGACGATTTTAGTTAGCGGTGTACGCGTGCGCGCGGTGGCTCGAGCTCGGCTGCTCCGCGCTGCCGCGGCGGAGGATGGTGCGCGCGCGCGGTGGCTCGAGCTCGGCTGCTCCGCGCTGCCGCGGCGGAGGATGGTGCGCTCGCGGTGGCTCGAGCTCGGCTGCTCCGCGCTGCCGCTGCAGAGGATGGTGCGCGTGCGCGCGCGCGGGGTGAGAGCGTCGGTCCGGTTCGTCATCGACGATCGGCAGAGACACCGGCGTGCCCCGCCGGGGCGAGGAGGTAGAGGGCGCCGCGCGCGACATTGTCGCGATCGAGAGCTTCGCGCCGAGAGCTCATCCTTAGAGCGTTCGCGATGAGCGAGGGGGAGGGGGCGACGAGGGTGGCCCTCGCGGAGATCGCCCGCTGCGCGCGAGCGTTGCCGTGGCGACGACATCCCTCCCCCTCGCGCGCGCCGGCGCAACTCCCGCCGACGCCGCGGCGGCCGCGGCGTGTTCGCTCGCGCGCGCCGACGACGATGTCATAATGTTATTTGGTCGGGGGCAGATATAACGTTACGTACGTGCTTGGCGCAATCCCATCAAGTGTTATGTAGGAGCGAACGCACGCCCCGCGTTCGCCTGAATATTTGTGAGGCATTTTGTAGTTTTTCTGCCAGCAGAGGGCGGTGGAGACAGCCCGTGCTTCTATAGCTGGGCCGGCACGGCTTGGAATAGGGGCCACTCCCCCCCCACCCACCTGATGAGTGTGCGTAACCCAACCATGTCTAAGATTTCATATTTTTCATTGTTTTACGAGAAATTGTAGGGAGCCCATTAACGACTGCAATGTAGCACTGCATACATACTATGGCATCACTCTTACAACGTTGAGATTTATGTCTGGTATTTTGTTTTTCGTGTGTAGAAATAATTGGTTATAAAACACATTTTAACTTTAAGCAGTGTGTGTGTCGGATACAAGCCACACCCAGAATAACCCCAGCCCCGTGTATTAGGTATTGTCTTGTGGGTTTGTATCGTATTATTGTGGTCTAATGTGTACACACACTCTTGTGGCCTGGCTTATATAGATGGGTCTGACATCCTTTTACATCATTCATTTATTTGCCAACCGCAAAGATGGCCTGCCCGTCTAGGCCATCTAGGGCTTCTGTAGTGCAATTTTGAAGAGTAAATTATTGTATCA